AATGGAAGGGTTCATTTGCATTTCCTGCAGGACATCACTACAAAAATAATGTCGTTTTCGCAACAGGGGCCTAGATCAATATGTATTTTATCGGCAAATGGTGTCATCTCCACTGTAACTCTTCGTCAGCCATCAACTTCTGGTGGCACTGTTACATATGAGGTCTGAACTCTGAAGACTAACATTAATTTCAAAAAATATAATTTTTCAGGCTGATAACAGTAAGTTGCTATCTCCTAAATGGAGAGCATAAATGTCTATAGCTTAGACTGATCAGCAGGAAGTTATCTTTTCTTGAGGTACAACGGTGGAATTGAGTTGTTTGAGAATGGTTAGGAAAATAAATTTATTAGTGTTTTAAATATTGTTTGGTCTAATAACTTTATATGGATCTGTTAGTAACCCTGAAATAACTTTGCGACTTAATGTCCTTAATACCCAATTGGAAAATATTTTAACACATAGGTTAATAATTTTGAGGCCTAGACTTTTAAGGTTGTTTTCTTGATTCTTATGTATAAATGTTTTAATTCACTAGTCACTTTTTCTTGGTTTGACATTCAAATTGCAATAGTGAGGAAACTAGACATTTCTTATCCCTATCTATGATTGTAGATTCTGGGATTGTGCCTGTATCTCTAACAAATTTGTTGACCAATCTTTTCTCAGTTTTCTTCTACACTGTTGTATACCATATGATGAATCAGCTTTTTGGTATAGTTTCTGGGGATCTAGGTGGCTGGGTGAGGGGGAACCACTTATTAAAGTGGGTAAAGTTTTCTCTATATTAGAAGCTTGTAATCTAGTTAAGTACTGACTTAAGTATTTTATTGCATTTTACCTAATTTGCCCCCTCATTTTCCATGCCTCTTCTGCAAAAATGAACTTCCAAGCATATGTTCTTATTCCATACAGGGACGGTTTGAGATATTATGTCTATCGGGCTCATTCTTGGTCAACGAAAGTGGTGGATCTCGGGGTAGGATTGGTAGTCTAAGTGTTTCTCTTGCTAGTCCAGATGGTCGCGTGATAGGTGGTGGAGTTGGAGGTGTTCTAATTGCAGCAAGTCCAATTCAGGTATCATTTTTAATCCTTCCATCTTATTGAAATCTCCATTTGATGTCTTCGAATGGAAACCATTCGGTATTTTGCTGTCTTCATCATATGATACTGTCATGAACTCATTTGCAAATTAGTATGAAACTTTTTTTAAGGTTGCTTCCATTTTAATCTTCATGCACCTTTGATTCTCAAAAAAACTTTGGCTGGTTTTAGATTTATATAGCTGGGTGATCATCGTTAAATCATGACAAAATTGGCCTACCTTGTGGCACATTCAGACCCTTGACTTTTCACTTAACTGTTCAAAGCCTTAAACTGAGAGTGAATAATTTTAGGTAATAGTGGGAAGCTTCTTATGCTCAAGTTCAAAGGCAAAGAAAAGAGCTGCAGAAAGTGTACAGAGTGCAGGAACTTCAGATCTTCAGACCACTGACAATTCCGTTAATCCAGCTGATGCTCTTTCAAACCAGAATCTTGCACCATCCTCTTCAATGGGAGTATGGCCTAGTTCAAGGCAGATGGATCTACAAACTGGCCATATTGACATTGATTTAATGCGAGGATGACTATGTCAAATGTAGGTAAACAAGTGAGCACTGTATATATTGTGTTCTGATTTCTCCAGTCCTACCATCTTGACATAAGACATGTTCTCACAACCATCAGCAATCACCTTAGATTGTAGTGATATAGGAGTTCTTTTGCAGTTTTACTTTAACATGAATCTGCTTTTCTACTCGGTAGTAGTTCAATTTATGCTGTAGGCTTTAGTCTGCGCGTGTAACATATTGTGGTTTGTCTTCCAGTTGCAAACTGTTCCATCAATGTAGCTAATTTTTTTCTTGATCTTGTGGTGTATGACATATTATCTCTGCCTGATTTTGAAATCTGATCCTCTGTAATTATTCTATTCTTGAAGTGTCCTGGATGTGTTTTTTAACCATTCCATGGAAAAAAAAAAAAAACTATTCAAATAGATATATGTTTGCTATCTCATCTTGCACGAAAGCACACAACTTCAATAATTCAGATATTTGGAAAATACAAACTTTGCATCCTAAACTTGTTCCGAAAAGTTATTTACATGCTGAATTAACTTTGATTTTGATAATCATGTATGTCAGACAATGAAGATTTTTGGAACTTACAATACCTTTTTCAGAACACAAATTTATTTAAAATACATAAGGTCAGTCAATCGATCAACACTGGACAACACTATATACAGTGACTTCACAGGGAAACATGCATGCAGACTTAAAATAACTCACAATTTTTTTTTGTTGCAAAACTGACACATTGAGATAATGAAGTTAACAAATAGGACTGCAGGGCAGGCAGGGACGCAGCGCTTTCCTGTTATTAAACTTGAAAATCAAGAGATGAACTGGTTTGGCTTCCTGTTTCATATGAGGCCTATTCTCAACTCTGAATATGTACAAAGTATAGCTAGTTCCAAGCTCGGATGAATAAGGAGTTCGTGTAAAAGTAGTCTAGTTGATGCAGTCTTTACTAACTTGAGATTGATTGGGGCCTAGTTGACTGATTGATCTTGGTTAAACTGTAGTAAGTCTAGATTAGCCAGTTTCAGATTTCATTAGTTCTGAAAGATGGGCATGAAATTTTATTTACTGTGACTTCAAAGGTTTATTAGGAACAGAATTTCATTAACTGTAATTTCAGAATAGTATACATGCAAATTTACCAGTAGTATATATCTATGCCACATATTACACATAATCACACCATCATCATATTCGATATGATGCCATCAATATTATAATGATGCACTAGGCATCAGACCATGTAATGTCATAATCACCCCAACCACCTTCTGGAATACCCAAGGCTTTCCACACTGCTTTAGATGCATCAACAATGTTATTGGGACATGGAGGCTGATAGTCGTGTTCGTCATCACATCCCATGGTAGAGTCACACTCATCTACAACTTTTGCCTTCACACTTCTTCCATTAGCACTTATGGTGATATAGTTAAGGCACCTATCTCCTCCACTGTACCATCCAGTTGAAAGAGCAACAACTGGAGTGTCATCAGAATGGTATTGGTTATCACATTCCGATGGTCCACCACCATCTCCACCCTTTTGGAAGCTATTTAAGGTTAAAACAGCCTTGGTATTACCGGTCACAGAAGGTGAGCATTTGTATGTGGTGTACATCTTGCCTTGTTTGCAACAATCTGAGTCGTTTTCGGGGTTACATTGTCCTGGTGGTGGCTTTATGCCTCTGATACTGCCACTCGGCTGACAAGCCTGTAATCTTGCATCTAAGCAGTAAGTTAGAGTGGCGAAAATCAGCAACACCACAATTGATTTTCCCAAGCTAGAGTTCTTCATGGTTTCTGTTCCTTTTATTGTTTTGTTTTCAAATGTTGGTTGTGTGGACTAGACTGGATGATCTAACTGGTTTATATAGTCTTCTGGTCACACAAAATGACAATATTCTGCTCAAGGCATGAAAATTTCTTATAATTAAGTACTTTATACAGTAATTAAATTTAGCGTCTATTGGAATGCTTCTTTATCCTATAAGTATTTTGCTATAGTAAATTTGGGGACACTTGATTATGGTTTATTTATTTTTCTTTAAGGTTTCTATCAGCGGATAACTAATTTAGAATTATCTGCCTCCTGCTGTAGAAAGGCATTCTACCACAACCTAATACGGCAACAACTTGACTTGATGGAGTATATTATTGTCTTGGATTCTTTAGTTGCTGAAAATAATTTTGTATTTTTGTTGTATAGTAGAAGTATTCTTATTATCTAAAACAGCTAGATGGTTAGTTTATTTAAGCAGTGAAAATTTCAAAAAATAATAAGAAGAAGATGAAGCAGACATACAAACATAACCTTATGTCCTTATCAAATATTGGATTTTCATCAAGACAACTATCACTAGGATAGAAGATTTGGTTGCTTGAAACTCTATTAAGATGACAATACAATACAAAACAAAAGTAAAACTATATTTAGTAGACTACAATGTTTCTCTTGAGCATGATCCTTAATGATGCTGGATCACAAATACAGGATACAGTTTGTTTAGAATAATTTCATCAACATTTTTTATGATTATTATCTTCTTAATGGGTATCCTCTCAAAAAATAACCCACCATGGAGTTCAAATTTTGTTTTCCAATCATCTCAGCTCTTCCTTGCTCATTAACAAAATAGCTCATCATGTGGTACGATATAATTCTTCTACATTTCCACTTGCAATATAAACAGATAAAAGTTGGAGAAACATGATCTTCAGAGTAAGCAGAAACAAAATGATTAGTGCAGTAGAGGCTCTCAATGTGTTGTTCTTGAATACCTGTAACCTAAATTAAATATTTTTTTCCTTCCTTCACATCCCCGTAATAGTAAGATATATCATTCAAAGGATCAAAAATTAGTTAATCATTTCCATTCTTGATTTACTGATTTGGTAAAACAACTATAAGAGATCTCGTCGTTTGTATTAATAAAAAGATCTAGATGCTTATGATTCAGTTATAGGAGACAAATCTTATGCTAAAAAGATCTAAATACAGAACTTCCTTCTCTTTATTTATTGCTTTAGACTTCATCCTCAGACACATTCATGTTCACTGTATGATTATTATTTTGCTGCACTACTGTACTGTGATAGTACACATCATTAACTAAAACTTCTTATCCGGGTAGGTGTATATACCCAACCTCAACTAATTTAAGATGGGGGCCTAGTTGATTGATTGATAGATGTCGGTCAAATTGTAGTAGTTTTAGATGAGCTACTGAACCAAGTCCTGTTTTAGATTTCACGAATTATGTCTCTTTCATTGGCATGATGAATTTGATGTTGTGATATTTCAAATTTCGTTATACTGTAATTTCACAAGTAAAAAACATGTAGTATTTACGCTACATATTACACATGATGTGTGTAAGCACATAATCATTACATTGGAACGGTACATAATTACTATATATAATGCACTAAGCATCAGACCATGTAATGTCATAATCTCCCCAATTATCTTCTGGTATACCCAAGGCTTTCCACACTGCTTTAGAGGCATCAACAATGTTATTTGGGCATGGAGGCTGATAATCGTGCTCGTCATCACATCCCATGGTAGAGTCACACTCATCTACAACTTTTGCCTTCACACTTCTTCCGTTAGCACTTATGGTGATATAGTTAAGGCACCTATCTCCTCCACTATACCATCCGGTTGAAAGGGCAACAACTGGAGTATCATCAGAGTGGTATTGATTATCACATTCCGAAGGTCCACCACCATCTCCACCCTTTTGGAAGCTATTTAGAGTTAAAACAGCCTTGGTATTACCGGTCACAGGAGGTGAACATGTGTAAGTAGTATACATCTTGCCTTGTTTGCAGCAATCCGAGTCATTTTCAGGGTTACATTGTCCTGGAGGTGGCTTTATGCCTCTGATTTTTCCACTCGGCTGGCAACCCTGTAATCTTGCATCTAAGCAGTAAGTAAGAGTGGCAAAAACCAGCAAAACTAGAAGAGATGTTCCCATGATAGAGTTCTTCATGGTTCTTGTGATTCTGTTTTTGAAATGTTGGTTGTGTAGATACTGAGATGATCAAACTGGTTTATATAGTGTTTTGGTCACACAAAATGCCAATTTTCTGTTCAAGGCATGAGAAGTGTCTTATTATTAACTATATATAGATGTTATGAAGTTTAGCAGTCAAATGGATTAATGAGAGTATTTTTATAATTCTTTTAGTGTGACAATAATTGCTTTACTTTCCTTGATGGTAAAAACATTTGTTTTCTCTATATAGATGTGTAAATTAGATTTTTGTGCGTCAATTTTACCTCCACGCTTAATCCTAATCACATTTTCCTATTATAGACAGGCATTCTACTACTACCTAATATGACAAGAACTTGATGGATTAGTTTATTGTCTTGGATTCTCTTGTTTCTGAAAACAATTTTGTATTTTTCTATAGTAATAGAACAACAGATTGTTTCATCAGGTTACTAAACATGAAGTATTCTAGCATCTGTATGACTAAAGTCTTCATTTTGTTATGATCATCCTTTCCTGACCCCACTTGTGGGATTATACTGGATGTGTTGTTGCATCCTCCCATGTGACATCAGTTATGATAGTCGATATAGGAGATTAAGACTAATTTAAATGTGAGAACTGACAATGATCAACTAATGTTCTCCATGCATACTGCTCTATTTGCCTGTTGGAAAAGAACATTTACTGCAGTAACATAAGAATTAAGCCTTCAATTCATTAAATTTCAATAGTTCATGCTCTATCAGAAATCGTTTTTGATCCGTTTTATGATTTTCCACCTGACTAATTTTGTAACTTCTCTCGTAAATGGATTAGTGAACTAGTCGGAACCATAGGTTGCACAGGCTTATGATGAGGTTTCAGGGTGCTAATATGAACACATGAAGTATTAGTACACTGTTCAATGAGCTTATTTTCATTGTTGATATCAAAATCAATGATTACAATTAACACTAGCTACCAAACATAACACAGAGAAATACAAAAGCAAATTCTGAAGTCTATATCTCAGACCAAGTTGAAATTGCCACCACTTGTGTAGATTGAATAGGTAAGGCCTCATTCATTTTATTGATCTCGAATTCAACCTGAACACATTAGGTTGATTCTAACACACGAAGATAAGTTAACATAGGACCTTGAAGTCAACTCCTAGAGTTAAATCATACTATTCTGCATTTGGGACTGATGAATTCCACCTTATTTTTAACTTTAAATCAGCAAATGTTTATTTTAACTGTAGTAGCTAGGTTAGTTTAGCTACGGAACCAAGTCCTGTTTTAGCTTTCACTGATCGAGACAATGTCTCTTCTCTTTCATTGGCATGAGTTTCATATTATGATCAGTTCAAAAGTAGTCATGAACAGAATTTCATTAATTATACTGTAATTTCACAACAACAAATTACATGAGAAATTAGATGACATAATCTGAGTACGAAGACAACCATCATATGCAAACGATACCATCAATACTATATATGATGCACTAAGAATCAGACCATGTAATGTCATAATCACCCCAATTACCTTCAGGTATACCCAAGGCTTTCCACACTGCTTTAGAGGCATCAACAATGTTATTGGGACATGGAGGCTGATAATCGTGCTCGTCATCACATCCCATGGTAGAGTCACACTCATCTACAACTTTAGCTTTCACACTTCTTCCATTAGCACTTATGGTGATATAGTTAAGGCACCTATCTCCTCCACTGTACCATCCGGTTGAAAGAGCAACAACTGGAGTGTCATCAGAGTGGTATTGGTGATCACATTCCGAAGGTCCACCACCATCTCCACCCTTTTGGAAGCTATTCAGGGTTAAAACAGCCTTGGTATTACCAGTCACTGGAGGTGAACATTTGTAAGTGGTGTACATCTTGCCTTTTTTGCAACAATCTGAGTCGTTTTCGGTGTTACATTGTCCTGGTGGTGGCTTTATGCCTCTGATTTTGCCACTCGGCTGGCAAACCTGTAATCTTGCATCTAAGCAGTAAGTAAGAGTAGCAAAAATCAGCAAAAGCAAAAGTGATGTTCCTACAGTAGACTTCATGGTTTTTGTTCCTGTTTTCTTGTTAGGTGTTGTTTTGAAATGTTGGTTGTGTGAAGATTGGATGATCAAATTTGTTTATATAGTATTCTGGTTAGACAAAATGCCAATATTCTGCTCAATGCATGAAAGTTTTCTTATAACTAAGCATACAGCTATGAGAGTTTAGCAGTCAAATAGATTACTTCTATTTGTGGTTTGGCTGTACTGGAAAGGACATATCACATACTATATTATAATTTCTTTACATTCCTTGACGGTCACGCCCTTTTTTCTATAATCAGCAGTTATCTAGATTGGAGTGGTGAATACAAGTTTGTATCTTTCTGTATATATTTAGTAAGAGAAGAACAGACCGTTTCATCTGGTCGCTAAACATGAACACCTGGATTTCTAGCAATCATCTTTTCAATTATATAAATAAGTAGACAAATACAGTGTCGAAGAGCTCATATTCATAGTTAAAATATGAAAATATTATGATTGCATAGAACTGAATCCAATAAAGTTTACATATACACGGCGAAAAATGCATTTGTGATCGAAATGATGGGGACTATAAAATTACATAAGCAAGTTCTTAGACCAGGTTATAACAAACTTGACGAAAGGAAACAGACTGCTTTTGATGCAGCAACCACATTAGCTTGTCATGGAGGCCAATCAACACCCCGCGGTTGTCACTCTCATTGGGTACACGTCTATTACACCACCCAGTTGAAATAGTCAGCACTGGTGGATTGAGTAGGGAAGAAGACCTCATTCTCCTTGTTGTTTCCAAATTCATCTTGAACTGTATTATGAAAAATCGAAATTGGACAGACTCAAACAGTACAACAGCTTGCGTTTGGCTACTCTATCTTGCTTTGTCAACCCTGCAACAGTTTCTGCGACCTGGAGAACCTGATTATTACCTTCAGTCAAATCATCACCAAACTGCTCTGGTGTCGTGAAGGCAAACTTTACTAGAAAAAATGGCCACGTTCAAGGAACAATCAGAATTTTTGGCTTGACTATTGATATGGACAGGAGTGCTACAAGAAATGAAGTTTTTTCCTACAGCTGAATATAAGTTATCACAACTAAAGTGAGTAGAGGAACCTGAGAGCAACCACTTAAGGAAATAATATTGTATTCTTCTATTTTTTATGACAAGGGAACCCGCAACTGCTACCCTTTGGGTGCACATAGGGTAAACCTGGCGGCCCATGCAATAGCTTGCAAACTGGTGCACATATGGTAAACCCCGCTCATGTGCAATAGCTCGCAAACCACACAGGAGAGATAAACCGCACTAGACAAGCCCCATGAGACGAGACCCATAAGGCCAACCCCCTGTTGTCGCAGGTAAGGGGTTTCAAACTTGAGACCTCCATTAGGGGAGTCCCAAACCAAACCATTTGAGACACCCCAAAGAGTAGCAACAAATTTTAAAGCAACAAGATGGCTACTTTCTTTATTAATCAAAAAATTAGGCAGGAAATTCTAACCTCATAAAATGTAGGATAAGGAAAAAATGATTTTCCCTATGTGTTTGTAGTAATTCCACTCAAGGCCCCAATATTGACTTTCTCGCTATTCTCCTTGTCACCAAGGGAGTCCTTGCCACGATCTGGGCCATCACTACCATGGCCATTATTAGCGTCAAAACCATTGGAATCACCATCACCATGTTTGTCATGGTGGCCATCTCTTCTATCAATCTGTCGAACAATGGAACATAAATTACAATAATATGAAGAAACAGCAAAAAATATTAGTGCCGGGAATTTTACATGCAATGCTTCTGAATTATCCTTTTCTGACTGTTTCTTCGACAACGACTCGATTGCTTTAAAGACATCAGCAAATGACACCATCATTTGTTTCTTGAGCAACTCAGTTGCTTTGAAAACCTAACAAAGCCCACAAAAATATAAAATGAAACAACTGTTTTGTGTTTGGATAAACTGAAATGTTAAACTATAAATATACAGAGATCTGCAACTGCCCATACCTCTCGAATATTACTCTTCAACTCTGACTGTTCATCTGAAAGTCGTTTGAGCTCGGCACTCCTCTCCAAATTATTCACTGGGGAATCCAATTTGGTTTTGGGCTGAGTTTTGCTTCTTTTAGGAGGAGAGCTAAAGTCATCATCACGAGGATGAACTTCAGGAAGATCTCTGTATGCCACCTCCTTATCATTTGGATTTCCAGATGATTCAGGCAAATCCAAGTGAAGTTGCTCAAACTCCGTGGGAGAAACATTCTTGAACTTCAACTACATAAAAAGTAAATCAAATGAGTAGAGATGAAAGATGAAAACTGCCCCATAGAATTTAAATTTTTTACAATAAACATTTATGTTAACATGCTGCATACACTGCATGCATACATTATTATCTATATTGTATATTGACTTTGCAATTCACCTTGTCACTTCTGATCTTGAATAACCCACCAGACAACTCATTCAAGGTCGGTTGCTTCTCAATTTTCCAATTAAGAATACGAGGCACTTTGTTGTCAACCCGGTGAGCCAACTTACCATCAGCATTAGTGCAGCACTCGTAGAACCAACACTGCAAAGCCAAAGGTAAACCCCCAAGCCTATACATCTTTAGACCCACACGCAACCTATTGTTTATGGACTCCATCATGGCTCTAAATACAAGTATACCCCAAGGGAATGTCTCATAATCCCCGCTCTCAACAATACAAAAATCAGCCTTTGTGATGAATGTGTTAATATTAGCAGTTGAGATCAAGAATGTGTGTATGAAATACAACACACCAATCTTGACCGCATCCTCGTCCGACCTCCATTTCTTTTGGAGGAAGCAGTCAATCAGTGATTGCTTGGGTACCTTTTCAAGTCCAGGAAAGTACATATCCATCAACCTATTGGTATCACTAGATTCATAACCCTTATCAGCATCACCACAACATCGCAAGCCAGTAATAATCCCCAATTCTGCCAGACCGAAACGCAACTTGGTTCCGTTCACTTTAAACCACAGTTCATCCTCTCTTTCCGGGACCACCTGCCTGAGCAATAGGGAATGTATAAGCTGGTTCTGTACAACTACACGAGGCAAATCTAGAAAGTACCCGAATGGGGTTCCCCTGAAGATCTGGAGCTGTCTATCATCCAACTTGCTTTTCAACAATGTAACAGCATTACAATTTGTGTGCGAACTTACACGCGTGTGGAAATGTTTGTTTGGTGGGATGTAGAAATCCCAAGTCTGCATTCCCAAAAGATATTGATGTTAGCGAAAAACTATAACATTCATCAAGTACTGCCTATATACTCATTATTGTGAACATTGTATATACAATCAAACCTCTCTATACGCGAGACCCTTTATATGGGCATTTCACCATGACATGCCAATTTCTTTAGAACTGATTTTTTATGTTATATTTTACCTTTTCTATAACATTTTTTTTACCAATAACAACATCCATCATTATAATGTTACACTCTTTGTAAAACTTACCTCTCTATAACGGTCTTTACCCAAATATCTATATACTTATTATTTGATGACAACTAAAGAGCAATCTAGTAATAAGTACTATTTTATAAGAAATATAATCTTTCTAAGTTTTATAAGTTTTAATGAAAATCTGGAATGTCAAAATCTCTTGTTAAGATGAAGTTGGGGACTTTTTTTTTTTTTGATGACAAGGGAAACCCGCAGTCGCTACCCTTTGGGTGCGCACAGGGTAAACTTGGGGACTTTCTACAATCTGCCATTTTCCCACACCCCCACCTTATTAATATTGTATTAGCCTAGTTAATTTATAATTAAAGAGATATGAATATCATTTGAGATTTAAAAGTTCAACCATTTTATTATCTTTTATAACAAAGCAAACTGATTTTTTTTTGTGTGTTTTTGGGTCTTTTTGATCTATAACCACCAAAAAGAAGATCTAAATAATCTCTGTAAAACGGCAACAACAACAGGTCCAGACAAACTAGGTGTTATAGAGAAGTTTGATTGAACAATGAATATATACTGTAATAGTTGTGTATGCAACTGCACTGTATACAATGTATATACACACACCCACACACTTCATATACAGTATATAATGCTTGTATACATTGTACTATACACATTAAACACAACAATTCCAAGTGTAAAAGGTTGAAAAAGTACCTTCAAATTGGAGGAGCTTGGAGGCTCTTCTTCGTTTTGTCCATCATACATCTTTCTCTTTTTTGATGTAACAACTTCATCCACCTGTACAGATTTACCCTTATTTTTCCCAGCAGCATTAACATCCTTCCTTTTTCTAGATAATTCACCTTTCGTTCTAGGGGATTTCATCGCATTAGATTCAGTACCCACAATTGCTCCATCGGGAGTCATCTGAGAGCGAGTCCTTCTTCCAGTGGAGTTTTTCCGAGCAGATTTAGGGGTTGAATTCAACTTGGAATCGACAGAATCAGAACTAATTTCTACTGATAAATCATCATCAGTAAATTCATAAACAGACAAAGGATCGATTTTCGGTCTTTTCCTGCTTGCTATTCGAGTCGACTTTTGCACCATTCTCAACAAAGCCCTAAAATCAAACAGAGGATCTCGTCGGAATTGAAGCAGAAGAAGGGTTTGTGGTTAGGTTACGGTAGAGAAGAGAGACAAAAAAAGATTTGTTAGTTAGCATTGTACGGAGTAATAATTAGTGGTATTTTTTATATTTATATAAATCAATGTGGTTACCCATAAATCAAAATAGTTGCTACACTAAAAAAAAAATAAGTGTGTCGATGCGAGGGATAAGAGATAACTAATTTTAGAATGAACTTCTTTTATGTTTGATTGAGATAAATGTGAATAGTTTATCTGAGATTAGTTCACGAGATTGTAGTGGTATTTTTTTTTCATCCTAAAATAATAATTTTGGAATGATTAATCTCGAAATAGTTAACTCTGAAATAACTTGTTTTCCAACCAAACGATTCTTTCACTTTTACTTATTACTTTAGTTTATAAAAAGAAAAATATCCTCTTTCATATTTTAACCTTAATATTAATTGGAGAAAATCTTATTGGAGTAACATCCCGAAATAGGCCTTATCACACATAATTCGAATTTAATGGGAGCACCAATATAAATAGCGTACACAGGATGGGAAACAAAAAAATCTTAATACTAATTACTTAATCATCAAATTATTTTACAAGACTTAAATCTATATACTAAATGGATATTCTAGTAAAATATATATAACATTTATTATTTTTAAAGAAAAAGGAAAATTCATTATGGACAAGTAAAAATGAATAAAGGTATTAACTTTTAGGGGAAAAAGGTAAATATACCCCTCCTCAATTTTATAATTTAAAGCTAATATATTCTCGTTATCAAATAAATAGAGTACAAAATTGAGGGGCGTAAACTGTTAAAGCGGTTATAAGATGATAAACTACCACTAGAGGGACCAATTTATGACTCATGGGCAGGGCAGAGTTAAAGTTTATTGTATGATTCATCTGAAATCAATAATTTAAACTCTATTTGTCTCGAGAAATTTATTTATTTTGTATAAATTATTATGTAAAAAATCAGCAAATGTTTTTTTCTTTCTTTTTTCAGGAAGTGACTAGTGAGCATCACTAAAACAACTAGTAGTAAGTTAAATATGTGCACGTACAAAGTAGAGTAGGTTCCACGCTCGGATTCAGAAGGTGTAATTGTGTAAAATAAATGTCTAATCTATGACGCTTTAAAGATAGAAACGAAGATTTATATAGCTGATCGCAACTAATTTGAGATCGAGGACTAGTTAGTTTATTGATTGATCTTGGTAAACTTGTAGTAGGTTTTGATTAGTTACTGAACCAAGTACTGTTTTGGATTTCACTATTTTATGTCTCTTTCATTGGCATGGATTGAATATTACCATCATTTCAAAAGTCGAATATGAACAGAATTTCATTATATTGTAATTTTACAACAACAAACATGAGAAATTAGTAGTATGTGTGCCACATAATCTGTGTATGAATAGGACCATCATATGCAAAATGATAGCATCAATACTATATGTGATGCACTAAGCATCAGACCATGTAATGTCATAGTCACCCCAATCACCTTCAGGTATACCCAAGGCTTTCCACACTGCTTTAGAGGCATCAACAATGTTATTGGGACATGGAGGCTGATAGTCGTGCTCATCATCACATCCCATAGTAGAGTCACACTCATCGACAACTTTAGCCTTCACACTTCTGCCATTAGCACTTACTGTGATATAGTTAAGGCATCTATCTCCTCCACTATACCATCCGGTTGAAAGGGCAACAACTGGAGTATCATCAGAGTGGTATTGGTTATCACATTCCGATGGTCCACCACCATCTCCACCCTTTTGGAAGCTATTTAAGGTTAAAACAGCCTTGGTATTACCAGTCACAGGAGGTGAACATGTGTAAGTGGTGTACATCTTGCCTTGTTTACAACAATCTGAGTCATTTTCGGGGTTACATTGTCCTGGTGGTGGCTTTATGCCCCTGATTTTTCCACTCGGCTGGCAAGCCTGTAATCTTGCATCTAAGCAGCAAGTAAGAGTAGCAAAAATCAGCAACACCAAAAGATATGCTCCAAAGCCAGAATTCTTCATTGCTTTTGTTCCTTTCTCTTATCTTGTTTTTTGTTTCCAATTGTTAGTTTGAGGAGATTGGGATGATCTAACTGGTTTATATAATGTTCTTGTCACACAAAATGACAATATTCTGGTCAAGGCATGAAAGTTTCTTATAATTAATTATGCAGTTATTGAGAGTTTAGCAGTCAAATGGTCTGGTGGAGCACTCTTTTATCCTTTTAGTGATTTGGCTATAGTAGATTTGAACATATTTGATTGTAACTTCTTTATTTTACTTGATGGTAACGGCATTTGTCTTCTATAATTGGACATCTAAGTTGGATTCTTATGTATGAGATCCTGATGTTCTATTGTCTTGGATTATGTAGTTGCTGAAAAGATTTCGTATTCTTGCTGTACAGATGGAGCACCATTGCACAAAGCAGTGTTAAATAAAAGCTTGGTGTGTTTCAAAGCTGGTTAAAAATGGAAACTTTGCTGTATATTGGCTAAAACAATGAACTTCAGGTTTGAAGATGATCAAAAGTCATGAGGGGATAGATTCTCATAACAAAGACGACCACTTGCATAAAATAACTCCATTCAGATCAAAGTTTTTGAAATTCTATTGATAGGACTACAACACAACCTCACTAAGCTAAAAGGAATATTGTATCCAATACACCTAATTGTGTATGTATTAAGCTTGGTCCATAATGACATTTTGAACTTTAATGCTTTTATTAGGAATATGCTAGTCCTCTTTTTAATCCTTAGCTTGGTACAGTATAACGACATAAGATATATTGATAGGTAATGCCTTCTACTGTTTATTGATTCGCAATTCATCACCACTTATGTGAATTCTATTTAGACAAATGGCTAAACATTACAGTAGCTTATGGTTGCAGCTAGCTACTGTCTTATTTGTCCCTTCTTTCAGATCATCGTCAAGCTTGTTCTGTAGTGGGGTTAAGGCAGGTTTAACTGGCAAAAGTGATTGTACCTGAGGTACCTACCGTTGGACAGGACCTGTACGTGTTTACTAGATATCTAGTACTTTCAAATCATAAGCAGAGGACCCCCAAAAGCAATTGCGGAGCTAAATGGAAAATTTGCATTTATAGAAGTGCCAAATTTCACATTATTAAGTGTATAACAACAAGAATCTTTTATTTCATTCCAGGCTGATCATCATCATACAAGTTAAAAGCAACAACTTAGTTTTCAACCATTTGATGCCAATTTGTAACTATAATGTACCAAGTATAGCTTGTTCCGAAGCAGGATAAACTAAGAGCTAGCATAACAATAATATAACTTTGATGCAGCCACTTCTAAGGTAATCTATTTATATAGCCTTCACCAACTAATTTGGGAGGTTTTGTTGATTGATTGATTGATTAAGGCCAAACTGTTGTAGATTTAGATTAGCTACGAAAATCCTTTTTTTCAGATGTTTTACTAATCATATCTGTATCATAGATATGAAATTTCAAATTACTCTCACTTCAAAAGTAGATATAAACATAATTTTTCATTAGCTGTAATTTCACAACAAACAACATGGAAATGTAGTAGGATCTTTGCCATTTAATACACATAATCTGAGTATGCACACGATCATTGTATTCAAATGAAAGCTTAATTACTAATAATACTAAGCATCAGACCATGTGATGTCATAATCACCCCAGTCACCTTCAGGTATACCCAAGGCTTCCCACACTGCTTTAGAGGCATCAACAATGTTATTCGGACATGGAGGCTGATAATCATGTTCGTCATCACATCCCATGGTAGAGTCACACTCATCTACAACTTTAGCCTTCACACTTCTGCCATTAGCACTTACTGTGATATAGTTAAGGCACCTATCTCCTCCACTGTACCATCCGGTTGAAAGGGCAACAACTGGAGTATCATCAGAATGGTATTGGTTATCACATTCCGATGGTCCACCACCATCTCCACCCTTTTGGAAGCTATTAAGAGTTAAAACAGCCTTGGTGTTACCAGTCACAGGAGGCGAACATTTGTAAGTGGTGTACATCTTGCCTTGTTTGCAACAATCCGAGTCATTTTCCGGATTACATTGCCCTGGTGGTGGCATTATGCCTCTGATTTTGCCACTCGGCTGGCAAGCCTGTAATCTTGCATCTAAGCAGCAAGTAAGAGTTGCAAAAATCAGTAACACCAAAAGATATGCTCCAAAGCTAGAATTCTTCATTGCTTTTGTTCCTTTCTCTTATGTGTTTTTTGTTTCCAATTGTTGGTTTTATGGAGACTGGGATGATCTAACTGGTTTATATAGTGTTTTGATCAGACAAAATGCCAATATTCTGCTCAAGGCATGAGAAAAATTCTTATAATCAAGTATATAGTTATTGAGTTTACCAGTCAAATGATCTAGTGGAGAAGTTTACTATTGGTTTTTTTTTTAAGTTTTACTTATTTGGACTATAGTGACTTAAGATATATGTGATTATAACTGCTTATCTCTCCTCGACAGTCACAGCCTTTGTCTTTTATACAAAGATGTCTAAATTGGAGTTTTCAGTTTCAGCAACTTTACCTTCACGGCTACAGCAAAGGGACAAGAACTTGATAGGCTAAATTATTGTCCTTGAGTTCTCCAGTTGCTGAAACTAATTCTGTATTTTTTTCAGCACAACATATCGTTTAGATAACAAAGGTGCAGTCCAGTGCCAGTACCAGTACTGAGCTTGACTTCATACGCCTCGCGGCAATGTGGAGTCAAAAGAATCTAACTGAAACTTGAGTGATAAGAATGCTGTATAATCAAACACAAATTTGGCATCAGATGTTATTAAACACCAAGTACAGAAAAAAGATTTATATATATATCGACTGGATTGCATGCACTTTGTAGAAAACAAACAGTACACATCTGATATACACACACAGATAGTTCTCAGTATCTTTGCCTAATTCATTTTACATTCCATGAACCATGGCAAAGCTGCAAAATGTGCTAAGAATGCAAATAACTTGCTGCACAACATACAGAAACAAATCAAACTTTTGAACATTTCTTTGGTTTCCCGGTCTTATTTATCAGGTTCCCGAGCTTTGTTCAACTCCTTGACAATATGACAAAATTTTCCTCGAGGATGATGATTGAAATCGGATTTCAGAAAATATCTCAGAAAACTTTCAACATAACACCACCAACCTATAGCATACTATCAGTCTGAGCTGGAAGCCGGCGAAAGAAATTCAGGGGTGCTGATGGCAATTTGTGGCGGAACCTGGGATGCCTCATTGCATAAAAGCCAGACAGGCCAGCAAATATCTGAAAAGGTGTAGAATACAACACAATGGCGGCGAGCAGGCAGAATATAATGAATAGTACAGTGGCACGCGGGTCTCGCCAACTAAGCAATGCCTGGATTCGCTCACCTTGTGTCGCCACATCTCCTACTACTGTCTGAATTCGACCAGCTAGACTTCTAAGACGATCATACCTCATCCTAACAAGATCTGAACTCCGTGATGTAGGAAAGGTGTCGAATTCCTCATCAAGCTCATCAGGATGTGTTGAATCAGCATGTGATATTCTTATGTTCATATGAGGAGGGTACCTTGGCCGGTACTGATAGTTCCAAAGCCCTATTAGGCACATGTACAGAAACACCGTTGGGAGGATTAATTCTGGGAAACAGACAAGCATAAGGAAGAGAACATGTACTAATGATGTCGTGATAGGATTCTTCCACATGCATACATCTCCGAACCAGTTCCCAACAGAGAGTAATCCTCTAAAGACAGACATCAGTCTGAAAAAGTTCGCTTTGCTGCGCCTCATGCTCCAGAGGTGTGCATCTGCATCACTCATGTATTCAACAACTTCTTTTCTGAGAGGAGGTTCTGCACGGCTTAGCCTTG